ATGCAATTACGGGGCACAGGTGACGACAAACGTTGCAATCAAGACGGTCGGAGAACGACGTTCGGAGGCGCAGGGCGTAAACGTTTGCGGGCCGTGTCCTAATTAGCGCGTCAATTAATTAGCGATCGGCCGCGCGGTCGGGGGTCGCAACCGCGGGGAAACGCGGTCGTCGAAATCTCATTAGAACAACAATTCGACGCCGCCGTCTTCTTACGGTTACTTCATAATTACCATCCGTTTGCCACTGCTAATTGCGCCACGTTTCGTTAACAAATCGGAGACCCCTCGATCGCACGCGGCAAATTGAATCTCTCCCCCTCGCCGCTCCCGGCTCAAAAGAGAAATTCACTTCTGGTTTTGACGTTTAGACGAAACAACAACGCGAGTTCAAATGAGCTTTTAATTGACGAGCTTCAATCACGACGATGTTCGCACGCGTTTCAGGGAATTCCATGCCCGAGCAGCAGCAGCAGCAACAGCAGCAACACTTACTACTGACCAATAAATATTTTAAATCCTATTTCGTGTTTCACATTTTACTCGGGTTAAATAAAATTCGATAAATATTCTCGCGTTCATAGACGATACCCCCGCCGATCGAGGCATACGAGATACGCCCACGAGAATCGAAATAAAGTAATCAAAGGGCTGACCTAATGATGACCAACGTTTCCACGGTAATATTTATCGCAGTATTCATCGCCGACTGGTAAACCGATCCAAATGAAATGAATCAGACGTCGGGGTTCGAGCCGACGAACAATCAATTTTCAATAAACCGACAGCTAAATGTATTTACAAACGTTTATGAACGTAAATCGTGACGCAGCGAATCGAAACACGCCGTCAAACGTTTTAAACGGAACAGCTACACCTGTTCACGCATCCGACGTTCTTTTTCCAATTTCATCGACGTTCGTCATCATCATTCATCGAAACCTTTTCACGATCGTACACACACCGCGTGTGCGTATTTTTTCAACCCCTCATTTTCGTCCAATTCATTTTCCAGTTTCACTGGCCCTCCCCAGCATTGTATCGCATCTGCTAATGCTGATGACGGTACCGCTTCAAGGATTTCGGTCCGTCCAACGGGTTTATAGGCTTTTCCCAGGCATTTCTCTGTGAAACTTTGATCACCACCGGGAGGGGTGAGGCTGTGTTATGATTTCGGTAGAAATTTTTCAACGTTCATCGCCGTTTCACAGCGAGTTACCGCGTTTCACAACCGAATAAAGGTCGAAACACACGGTGCGGGGTACACGGTCTCTCGATCGAGGCTCCTGTTTACTCTACTCTCGTGCCTCAACATAATCCAACTTTATAGCGTTTATGTTGCACTCTCGTCCAAATAAATAAAACGATTTTACGATTCCGCTGGTACAAACATTTTTCTTTTTATGGCCAATCGACCGTTTCGGTCGGACAGACGGACAGAAATTAAACGCAGTTTTATCCGACAATGACGATCGATCTGACCCGTCCGCGAGTGGACGGACGTTCTTGGACCCACGCGCGGTTTTCGTGACGATTCAAAGTCGGCGAGCGGAATGGTGGTGGCAGCGAGATAAGGAAGATGGTTCGAAAAAATTCTCGGACGAAAGAGGGTGGGTCGAGTGGCAGGAGGTAATTGGTAATTAACATTTATTAGGCGTCCCATTGAGAGCACGCCGGCCGCGTAATTTACCTTTTGCGTCCCGTGTGATTGCATTATTTATGCGGGAGCACGCGATAACGGCCGTTGCACGCCGCACAACTAATTACGATAGAACGTTCACGCTCGTTTTGCAACAATTTCGAACGGAAACGCGATGCCCGGCTGGCCCCGATGTCGAAATATCGCGTCAAACGCTGCGAACCACCACCTCCGCTCTTCCCCTCTAGCTTCCACGCAATTATAACCGGCGTTAAAACGGATGCGCCGACGATAAACAATGCCGGCCCGCGTTTCCGTTTTCACTCTCTACCCTCGATCGTCCCGTCCTCTTTTTTTCTTTTCGTCCGACGATCCGCCGACGAGATTCGGAGAGAAAGTGGTGTGCACACGCACACGCGATTAGAAATCGTTTCGCCACGAGAGATTCGCTTCGACGATAAAAGGACCGATGTCCTCTGGTGGAATTAATAAGCCCGATCGTTCGGCAATCGAAAACGTAAACTCGATTAGCAGAGAGAAATTACGGAGAAAAGTTTTCGGTCGGAATTAAATGGGACGACGAGCAGCAGGAACAGGGAGAGGGTAAATTCTCCGCTGGGTCGGATGAACGTGTAACGGGTATGGTCGTTCTCCCTTGTTACACAGTGTCGGATGCAGGGCGCAGTTTCGCGTTTAAACGTTTAGTAATTCACTGCGTCAGGGACCAGAGTCTAGGGTCTCTCGTTCCTGTTCTTGTTAATACCGTGTAATATCTTGCAACTCGTTACCCGATGCACGCAACTCCAATTAAATATCGCTGCTTTTTCTTTCGTCGATGCAGCCTGACGATTATTCCTTACCGAAACGCACGTTCCCCCCCAAATTTCGGCGACGTACCATTGAGAACTCGAACAAACGGTTCTCGCTATCCGCGCGTCAATCACAGGATCCAAGAGAAAAATACCCGAAACCCTCGACGAAATTGTTTCCCTCCAGCAAGAGTACGAAAAATCGTGCGCACCCCAGTCGTCGTCGTCGTCGTCGTCGTCAACGACGACGAGGAGCCACTGGTCCATTAGAAGCGCGTGGGTACGCAGGAATAACGAGCAACCAGAGGTCGAAAAAAAAAGAACTGGCGAAGCCGGTTTAATCGCCGACGGGTTAAACGTTAAAGCGAATTTGACGGTTTCTAAGGCGTCGCAATTTTAATGCCAGTGGGATCGTGCAAGTTTCCAAGGAAAAACGAAAATTCTACCGCGGCTTTCCAGTCCCGCTCGGGGCGTTTACAGGGCCGAGTACTTCCGGTGCACCGCGAAATTAGCGGGAACGTACATCGTCGTCGTCGTCGTTCTGGCTCTCGAAGAAAGCCTCCGTTTTGTTCAACCGTTGTTTCACCGAAACGCATGCTGCCATCACAATTGTTCACTAAATTACGACCGACCGACTGTAAATTCGTTCCGACGGAGCCGCGCGCGAATGGATAAAACTGATCTGCGCGGAAGAGAGGAAGGTCGTACCGTCGTACGACGTCTGATCCACGTGTTCATTAATCGGAGCTGCGACGAGACGCGGTAAATGTTTCGAGCGAAATTTCCAGCGGCCCGTAATTAACTCTTTGACCAGGCCCCCGAAATCTTTGACTAGCCGGCTGCGCATAGACGTTGGGATTCCCAACACGCGTTATCGCGGTCCGTCTGTTTCGGCCGGAGTGTATTTAACTCGGCTAATGGTTAATCAACACACGTATGCAGTTCGCCAGACAGAAACATCCCCGAAGGAAAGTTCGTGGGAACAACTTGGCCCTCCATGCTTGATTACCAACTGGGAGCTTTAATAACTTTCCAACTCGACTTAAACGGGGATCAGCTCCCGTGATTTTCTTGAGAACTTTTCGAAAATAAGACCAACTCGACAGTTCATGGAGCTACATGGAGTAAAAAGAACCGAAGGAGTCATGGACGTCGACCGAGGAGAACCGTCGCCAGGACATCGATCGCCACGGTTCGTCGGTCGACAATTCGGCCGATCGGGACGGTCAAAGGACAGGATAGTCGGTGAGAAAAAAAAATTGAAAAAAAAAAACCACCGAAGTGTTTTTCGCTTATCCTTTAATCGCCTCGATTCTAACAAGCGTATACTTACAAGTAATTTACATTTAACGAACAACCGTCCATTACGTTTTACGACTGGTTCGACGACTTCATCCGCGCGTCAATCACAGGATCCAAGAGAAAAATACCCGAAACCCTCGACGAAATTGTTTCCCTCCAGCAAGAGTACGAAAAATCGTGCGCACCCCAGTCGTCGTCGTCGTCGTCGTCGTCAACGACGACGAGGAGCCACTGGTCCATTAGAAGCGCGTGGGTACGCAGGAATAACGAGCAACCAGAGGTCGAAAAAAAAAGAACTGGCGAAGCCGGTTTAATCGCCGACGGGTTAAACGTTAAAGCGAATTTGACGGTTTCTAAGGCGTCGCAATTTTAATGCCAGTGGGATCGTGCAAGTTTCCAAGGAAAAACGAAAATTCTACCGCGGCTTTCCAGTCCCGCTCGGGGCGTTTACAGGGCCGAGTACTTCCGGTGCACCGCGAAATTAGCGGGAACGTACATCGTCGTCGTCGTCGTTCTGGCTCTCGAAGAAAGCCTCCGTTTTGTTCAACCGTTGTTTCACCGAAACGCATGCTGCCATCACAATTGTTCACTAAATTACGACCGACCGACTGTAAATTCGTTCCGACGGAGCCGCGCGAATGGATAAAACTGATCTGCGCGGAAGAGAGGAAGGTCGTACCGTCGTACGACGTCTGATCCACGTGTTCATTAATCGGAGCTGCGACGAGACGCGGTAAATGTTTCGAGCGAAATTTCCAGCGGCCCGTAATTAACTCTTTGACCAGGCCCCCGAAATCTTTGACTAGCCGGCTGCGCATAGACGTTGGGATTCCCAACACGCGTTATCGCGGTCCGTCTGTTTCGGCCGGAGTGTATTTAACTCGGCTAATGGTTAATCAACACACGTATGCAGTTCGCCAGACAGAAACATCCCCGAAGGAAAGTTCGTGGGAACAACTTGGCCCTCCATGCTTGATTACCAACTGGGAGCTTTAATAACTTTCCAACTCGACTTAAACGGGGATCAGCTCCCGTGATTTTCTTGAGAACTTTTCGAAAATAAGACCAACTCGACAGTTCATGGAGCTACATGGAGTAAAAAGAACCGAAGGAGTCATGGACGTCGACCGAGGAGAACCGTCGCCAGGACATCGATCGCCACGGTTCGTCGGTCGACAATTCGGCCGATCGGGACGGTCAAAGGACAGGATAGTCGGTGAGAAAAAAAAATTGAAAAAAAAAAACCACCGAAGTGTTTTTCGCTTATCCTTTAATCGCCTCGATTCTAACAAGCGTATACTTACAAGTAATTTACATTTAACGAACAACCGTCCATTACGTTTTACGACTGGTTCGACGACTTCGAACGAGTCAATTCACCGAGAGAAATACGATCAACTCCGGCTCGACGAAACGACCAAATTTAGAAACAGAGAAAATAGACCGCGTCCGTTCCCGTGTAACGAATGTAAAGCAAAGTGAACAGACCGTTCTACTAAAATAAGATTAAGATATTAGGAATCGATTCACCTGTACAGATCACGAACAGAAGAATAGATAGCGGGACAGACCGAGCGCTACAAGTTTCGGACGTTGTCCGACTCGCCACCGTCCCTCGGCAGCATGTTGGCCAGCTCCAGTTGAAGGCTCCTCGGTATGTCCAGCTGGAACGCTTGTCGATCGTGCGTGAGACACCGTTTGATGGCCCTTAGCGACAGTTCCCGCAGCGTGCACACAGGCAGCGTGATGTACACGTACCTCCTGAGGCCGCGGGAACTCGGACTCCACGGCTCCGGAAAGAACACGTCTCTCTGGTTCACCGTGTACCTGCAAACTCGCTCTTTCAATCCCTCTATCCTTCGTACGGCCCAAAAATAATTACACGTCCATGTCCGTACACACAGACAGATATAAAAAGAGGTCCCGTGCAATTTCTAACTCCGCTCGTTAAGCAATATAATCGGCGACCAAAGAAATAATTAATCGATTACTCCTCTCGTGTTCCACATGAAAAAAAACTGTATACCACCTTTTTTGAAGGTAGTAGTAGTACCTACGACTTTTACTCGAAGCATTTGTCGAAATTCCGCAAAAAAAAAATTTTCGATTTTTCCGAGATTTTTCCAAGGGGTACCCCTTCAGATTTCGCGAAATTTTCGTTTTTTGCCAATAACTTCTAAACCGTTGGAGATACGGGAAAATTGCATAGGACCTTTCTTGTAGAGCTCGACGAGATCTACAATTTCCATATAAAAACTTTTCGCTAGCGTCAATAGTTAACGAGTTATTTGCAAAAAACTGTTTTTTCGTTTTTCGTAAATAACTCGTGAACTATTAATGCTAGCAACAAAATTTTATATGGAAATTGTAGGTCTCGTCGTCCCCTACAAAATGGTTCCAAAAATACCCCTCTAAGTCNATGTAACTCATTAAATATCGAAATTAGAAGAGAAGTACACTATTTTTAATTAAAAATTTTCGATATTCTGAGAAAAAAAAAAATTTGTTTATTTTTCCGCACGCGAGTCGACGGACGCGGATTTAAGGAACGAGAGATGATTACCTGTCGTGGGTGTCCTTGTCGACGAAGATCCACGGATGAGTGACGAACGTGTCGATGTTGCGGTAATCGTCGGGACGCAGTACGCCGTAACCGACCGCCTGGCCCTGGTAGTCGATCCAGTAGAGGACTACGTGGTGCAAGGTCTTGTTGACGAACTTAACGTACGACCTGTGCGCGTTGTTGATCGAGCGAAGCATCGGCTGCTGATTCTCTCCCATTATTTTCGCTCGCCGCGGTCTCGGTTCCCCCTCGCCTCGCCCTCTCCTCCCCCGCGTGCGACTGAAACGAACGAAACAGGCGGCATCGTAGAATGGTGACCTCGACAAAGCGCCAAGAGTTCGTTTGGTGGACGAGCATCTTTCCTGTTCGGTTTGAAAATCGCGACGCGATCCTCCCGGCCGCGAGGCAACGCGGCCGAGCCGGGAAATCGATCGGGCGTAAACAATTTGAGGAGTGAAACTGACCGGAGTCACTCCGGTGAACGTATGATAAAAAACCTTTCGAGTATTCGGTTTTTTACCCGCTGGCTCGGCTCTGTTTGCCGATACCGACTCCATTTCCTGATCAAATAGGAAAATATTTGCCGAAAAAGTAGGACCGCGCGTGAAATTTTATAAAACCGTAACAAGTGAAAAAGGCGAGGACGACTTTCCGCCTCGAACAAAACGAATTGACATAAAAAAATCAATGATTCACGTGGTATTTTGCGGTCGATCGGACGGAGAACGAGCGGAGTGAACGACACGGGGTGTTTAACGGATAAGTGAATTCGAGGGATAAGCGTATTTATAGGATGGGTTCGTTTCCATTCGTCTTGACGCAGTGGGACGGTGACGCGCGAAGCTGTCAGGAACTGTACAGCTTCTATTTGATTGCGATCCAGATGATCGATCGCGTCTCGCGTCGAGTCAACGTCAGATATTGTTTAAATGAATTATTAGCTACGGCCCCGAACTTTCCTCCTAATTCTTTCGTTGGATTCCCGCCCGGGCACGGGGTCAACGACCCGTAGTTCGTTTCCGGCGAATTTTCATATCGGTTCGGCCCAATTGAAATATTAATAAAGAACGCGCGTACAGCAAAGCATTGATATGTAGCTGCTGCTGCTGCTGCTCGCTCGGAGTCCAGTCCCGAATTCTTTATTACGCGACGCGCGAATCCATGAAAATCCTAATTACGCCCGTAGGAAATGTTCATTTGGCGAATATCAATTGTAATTTCGTTTCGCTGATCCACGGGCAAGTGTAGAAAAAGTGCGAGGGAAAGGAAACGGAATTAGCGTGGCAGTTTCGTTTTTCAATTAAATTTGGCCGCCGAGGGGGTCGGACGGACGCGAGCGAGAAGCGTAAAATCGATTGTTCGCTGGCACATACGCGCGTATTATTAAACAGCGGCGTCCCTTTTCACTGTTGCCCGGGAAAACTGGGGAAAACCTGTAATGGAGTTTCGCCGTTCGCCTCCCATTGTTTTCCAGTTTTATAAGCCGATGAGAGCGTGGCTTTTGCCAAGTGCAACAGAGTCCCGCCAAAGTTGTACTTGCACTTGGTCCGACGTCGGTCCTTTCGACGCTCGCGTCGGAACGACGCGCGTCCGTCGTACAGGCGATCGAACCTCTCTCGTTCTCTCGATCCGATGCACGTACGCGCGGCGTAACCGTAAGACTGGTAAAGATCTCGTCCGTGGCCGTTTTCATTAAAAGTTTCTCGGCTGGTTCATCGTCGTTGAGACATCGAACACCGTCGGGATCAGAACGGCGGCGGCGGCCAGAGGGAAAGATTTACGCGCAATAAGAAGTTACTCCGTATATCTTTGCCGATTTATCGCGACGACTGCCGTTCCCCCCGTGGGATTCCCCAACTTTCCTCCGCCGCTGAATCCGCGAAACCGTAGATTACCCGCCGTACCGCGAATTTCCTAACAACATTGCTAATTTCCCCGGCTCCTCCTCAGAATTGTGATTCAGACTTTGCGAGGCGTCGCGTCTCGTCGTTCGATCGATCGGATCCGATCATGCGACCTACACGGATCATGAATTTCATCGTCGGACGACAGGGGAGAGTTGGGAAGTTGAGAAAAATCGGCCGACCAAGTTCGAAGGCTCATTATTTCCAATTTCAAGGGATCACCTCCCCGCCCCGCCCCGCCGTTCGCTGCTGGCTGTTTCACAGAGTTAGTTTGGTAAATTACCAGGGAAATTACAACGTCGGCGGCTCTGCTCGCCTCGGCTAGCTGTGTGATCTCACCGACGACGCGACGCTCGTCGTCTAGGTCCGGCCACCTTCCTCCTCCTCCTCCTCCTCCTCGCTCTGCACAGTTTTTGACTCTCCACCGAGATAGGACGCTCGCAGAAGCGACCGAGATCGCTCAGAAATAAATACGATGCGACCCAGAGTATTTGTTTGTGGCTAGTTTGGAGATCGATTAATGAGCCGCGTCGATCACGCGAGATCGTCGGCCAGGTTTAATTCTTTTCCGCTGGATAATACCACTCTCGATCATTCTCGATACGTTCTTGGATCGCGATGGAAGGAGAGGATCCATCAGTTACTTGCCTGTATCGACAGTCAGGAGAATGAATATCCTCGTCAACTTTCCGCGATAAGAAACTTTGCCAGAAGAACATTTCATTGTAAATGGCTTAATCACTTGGCTCCGTGATTTATCGTCTCTATAATTCAATCCCCGACTCGAGACCGAATATCCTCTCCGGTGTGTCATCGATCCGTCGTAAAAATAACTGAATCCCGGTTAATAAACGAATGGAAAAAGATCTTGCCATTTCTATCTGACGATCCTTCGTCGTATTTCCACCTGTCTGTTCCTATCCTCGTCCCGTTCGTCGCTCACGACGATCGACCCCTCTCGGGCCGAACAGTGAGCGAGCTCGTCGTCGTCGTCGTCGTCGTCGTCGTCGTCGGAGCGAGGAAGAGGAAACGGGGGAGGTCGGAAACTTAATAAAGCGACGGTGCTCGCTCGCAGTCGCGATTTCTCTCCTTGGAACGATGACGGCTTGGCCCGAGAGTAAATACTCGGATACTCGGTGGATCGGCGTTGCTCGTCACGGTCGACCGTTGCGTCGACGTTCCGGCGAATCGAGGCTCGCTGTTTGCGAACCCTGAAAACGAGACGCCGGCTTGGCTGTGTACCAGCGATCCTTCGCTTCACCGTTTGCTCACGCGCGAATCACCGACCGAGTTGGACGTTGTCGCCGGATTAAAGATGTATCGTCGATTCAATGTTAAAGTCGTACGGCGCGAACATTCGGCGACGTAGACACGTAGAAAACGTAAGAACGGATCGGAGCGAGGATCTGGGTGGAACGCGATAGGGGAACGGAGGTAAAGTTTCAGCGAAACGACCTACGGCGTTGAGCGGATCCCTCAACAGCTGGAACAAGTTCTAAACCGCTGAACAAACTTCACGACGGTACAATAGTGAAAATATCAAACAATTTAATGAAAAGCTTACCGTAGCCCCGAGACTCATTACGCCGCTGGACAAAGCACATTAAACCCCTAGCACATTTCCATGCGAAACGTTTACGCGAATCCTTAAACTCGTCGAGGAAAATAAATCCAGAAGAGGATATTAAACAGTGAAATCAATTATGCAAACCGAAGAGAACGTGTCCGTCTCCGTTACGTGTACGTACCGTACACCGTTGCCGGCGCCGCCGAAATGTTTGAAAACGTCGAGACGAACGAATTGTTAAATAGATAATAATCATCGGGTCTCGCGAGTAACGTGATATTTTTATCTCTCATTAAATTCCCTCGCTAACGAACACGACTCGGTAATTTATCTAGCTGATGCAATTTTAATAACGCTACGAGAAACCGTTGAATAATTTTCGCTAATTACGATCAAATATTTGAGGACAGAAACGAGCCATTCATTTCTAGCTTGTCATTTTCTCCACTCGTCAAATATCACAAGCGACAGATCTTGTTTCCACGAGACACAACGCAATCATCCGGAATTAGTGTCTCCTTTCAAAGGAGCCACCCCCGCGCCTCGCCGATCTTCGACGACCTCGCGCGCGTCGCCAAACGGAGTCTCGACAAAATAATCCCCGAGGAACGAGTCCACCGACAGATCTCGTCGGTGCGTAGCAGCAGTCCAAACGCCTCGTTTCGCGACGTTCGTTCGAACCGTTTGATTTCCGCGGACGAAAGAGGGATCAAACGTCGCGTGAATTAGACGTCGGGACGATCGTGATTCCGCGGCGGATTAACAGGCGTTCCAACACTCGAATCGAACATGGTCGATTCGTCGAGGCGCAGTGTCTTTGCGGACGGCGGCGCCTGGGCTTGTAATTTGCGACCTGTGATCTTCCGGGCTGGAACACGCCTCGCGCGAACCGCCCTTAAAGAGGAAGAACAAAGGGGATCCTTGTTAATCGGCTCGATCGGTGTCTGCGGCTTTCGATCTCGAATTCCGACGCTTCGACCCTCGTCGATCTCCAAATTCCGAGTTTCAAGCCGCCGAGACGTGCCGAGATGTAATCGTGATTGGTACTCGCTGCCGCGACCGACGGACAGCGATGAACTCGTGTAAACGAGAAAAATGCATTTTGTTCGCGCGGCAAGTGGATCTTGGAAAATCCTTGAGCGACTGAAAGCGTGCAGTCGACGATGCAGCGTCCGTGGACAAAGGGGAAATTTACAAGAATTTCAATTGACGGTAAACAGGCCGTGATCCGGCCATTGTTTGCGGCAGCGTTCTCAGAACAAATAAGGGTAGCAGCTCCGTGGTTGGAGTACCGACAGGGATGAAAGGAGGGTTTTGCTTCTCACCTCGCCGCGCGTTACCACCCGTGCATTCCGCTGCTGTTCATTATCGTTCGCCCTCGATCCTCCCCTCCGGACGGGAAGAACCGCGTAAAATCACCGCGAGACCACGAATGAAGAACGCATCGCGTAACCAACAGAGGATCGCGCGTCGCGTACAATCGAGTGACCGTTACGTCGTAAAAATTATTCGATTCCCGTTCCTCTCCCGGGAAGCGGCAATTGGAGTCGGTTAAAATCGGAAACACGGCTTCGGGTATCTCGAGTTCCCATTCTGCTTCCTCGGATCCCCGCTCGGTTTTATTAAGTCTCGGTTCCACGGCTTCCCTCGTCCCTCCCTCCCTGTTGGTTCCATCTCGTTCTATTATCCGGCATTTCGCGTTTAATTTCCTGACACTCGTCCGACTTCTGCTTCGACGTCAACTTTTTCCTACGCGCAGCTCCCCTCGACTAATTTCGAAACGTTCAGACAGGAAACACCGTCGATGA